GCAATCTCATCGAAATTATAAAGAGGGGCTGTTGTACCGCAAGCAAACGAGTATGGGAACGACATCACATCAAAGCCCTGTTTGTATATGTATGTATGTATGTAAAGCCCACAAATTAATAATACAATAATAATAATAACATATGATTTAGAAGAAAATTGAGATAAATGAAAAACGAAAACAAACACAAACACAAACACAAACTTACATCGCTTTCAGTGATCTGTCGATTATATTCTTGGTATTCCCTATTAGTAAACTCATGCCTTCCATCACTGTCATCTTTCACATCTGAATCATCGTAGTTATAGAATACAACTTTTGATCTAGGGTCTTCTTTTTCTTTTTCTTCTTCTGCTGATGAACAAAGCGGTGGTGGTGAACCGTAATCCTCGCACCTTTGCTTCTTTGCCGGTGAATCTCTAATCTTCCATTTGGAATCGTTCCTTTCGATGCACAGATCGGAAGTCATACACACCTTCCAGCACAGATAATATGAGAACGACAATGAAAACCTAGACAACCGACGGACAAGGGAGCTCAACCCAACCTAAAAAAAATACACCAGACCAGATACAAAATAAAATAGGCCGTGAGCTCAATCCAGTACTGTACATGTACCTGAAATTGGGTGGTGGGAAGGAAAGGTGCAAGAGCTCCGGTCAAAGGGAGAGGTGAGAGCTCTATTTGCTTAGTTTGTTGGTCACGGCCGGAGAGAGAAGCTAAGGACTCTGAAGAACTTCGTTTGCTGGTAATGGCTATCGATAGAGAAGCTAAAGACTCCGACAATGGTCGTCGATGTCTGGATTCCTTCATTCACAGTCGCGAGAGAGAGGGAGAGAGAGAGAGATATTTGGTAGAAATTAGGGATTTTGGTTCTAAGAGATTGGGGATTTTGGGGGGCGCGGGAATGGAAAAAAAGGGGGGAACCGAGCGGGCGGGATTGGGAAAAATAATAATAATAATAATAATTTTCATCATAAATGAATATTTAAATAATAAAAATAAATAAATAATAATTTTCATTTTCTTTTCGTTACTAAAGTTGAGAATTTATTTGTTTCATTTTTATTTTAATGAATGAAAAATTATTATTATTATTTTTTATTTGGTAGAAGTAAAGATAATATTTTAATGAAAAATATTTTTCTATTAAGAGTGATGAGTGAGAGAGAGAGTGAGAGAGACAAACAGACAAAGAGAGAAAAAGATAGAGAGAGAGAGACAGAAAAAGAGAGAGAAACAAGAGATGAGCGATACAAAAAGAGAGAAAAAGAGAGCGAAAAAAGATGAACGAAACTTACATCGCTTTCAGTGATCTGTCAATTATATTCTTGGTATTCCCTATCAGTAAACTTATGCCTTCCATCACTGTCATCTTCCACATCTGAATCATCGTAGTTATAGAATACAACTTTTGATCTAGGGTCTTCTTTTTCTTTTTCTTTTTCTTTTTCTTCTTCTGCTGATGAACGAGTGGTGGTAGTTGAATGGCATTTGTAGTAGTGGTAAATGTGGTAGAGAAGATGGGTGGTGAGAGAGAGAGATGAGTGAGAGACGAATATAGAAAAGAGATAGAGAGACAGAGAAAGAGACAGAATGATGAGCGAGAAAGAGACAAAGTGGTTGCTAAAAGTGCATTTTCTTGTAAGGGATCGATAAATCGAAATGGAGCTCAATAAATAAAAAAGAGATGAGGGAGAAAGTGAGCAAGGCGAACACAGTGGGGAAGAGAGAGAGACAGACAGACAGACTGGCAGACAAAGAGAGAGAGAGAGACGAAGAGAGAAAGAGATAGAGAGAGAGATAGACAGAAAAAGAGAGAGAAACAAGAGATGAGCAATAGATAAACTAAAAGATAGAGAAAGAAAGTGAAAAGAGATTAACGAGAGAGACATAGAAAAAAAAAAAAAGACAGAGCGAGTGGTAGTGGTAGTGGTCATAGTTCCACCCACTGATTTAAGTATGATGTTTGTTTTGAGCTTTCAAATCATAATTCTGTATCCATTTTTCAAAACTCAATTCAAAATATAATCATTACTTTTCGAAACTCATAACCAAACACATAATTCAAAACTCTTTTCAAAGCTTAATTCAAATCAATTTTTTAAATATTTTAATTTTGTGAGAGACAGATAAAGAAGAGAGATAGAGAGAGAAAGACAGAGATAGAGTGATGAGCGAGTGAGAGAGAGAGACAAAGTGGTTGCTAAAAGTGTATTTTCTTATACTGGATTGATAAATCGAGAACGAGCTCGATAAATAGAGAAGATGGGAGTAAGAGAGTGAACAAGGCGAACATAGTGAGGGATAAATAGACAAATAGACAAGTAGACAGAGAGAGAGAGAGAAGAGTGATGAGTGAGAGAGAAACAGGGAGAGAGAGATAAACAGAAAAAGAGATAGAGAGAGAGAGAGAGAGATAGAAAAAGAGAGAGAAACAAGAGCTGAGCGAGAGATAGAGAAAAAAGAAAGAAATATAGCGAAAAGAGATAAGCGAGAGAGAGACACAGAAAAAGAGACAGACAGAGAGAGAAAAGAAATGGGCGAGAGAGATAGAAAGATAAGAGAGAGAGAGAGAGAGAGAGAGAGAAAAGAAATGAGAGAGATAGAGAGTAGAGAGATGAGCGAGAGAGACAGAGAGAGAAAACAGATGAGAGAGATAGAGAGATAGACGAGAGACACATAGAGAAAATGAGAGAGAGAAACAGACAGACAGAGAAAGAAGAGTGATGAGTGAAAGAGATAAAGAGAAGAGAGAGAGATCGAGATAGAGGGGCAGAAAGATGAAAAAATGAATGAAAAGAGAAATATTATATCAAAAGAGTAAGACGACATTGTTTTTTTTAATTTTTTTTGCGACAGAAAAATACCGTTGAATTTATTCAAACCATTTTGTGACTATATATATATGAAGCTATCTCAAAACCACAATCAATATGCTAGGTTAGAGTTTTTCAAAAACTCTTTTGAGAAAATTATACTTTCTTGTTTTCCGTGTTACATTGTTTTTATTGAATTTTTTTAATATTTTAAGTATTTTTTTTTAATTTTCAAACACATCTAACATAAATACACCTAAAAATTAAAAAAGTTATAAAAAAAATATTTTAAAAATTCACTAACTACCAAAAATACAAAAAAAAAACAATAATTTAATACATTTTTTTTTTGTATTTTTATGTATTTATTAATTTTTAAAAATATTTTTTCATAAATTTTTTATTTTTTAGATACATCTAAGTAAGGTGCATCTTAAAAAAATACTTAAAATTTTAAAAATATTCACTAAAAATAAAAAAAAAAAACACGAAAGCCACTTTTTGTGAAGGCAGAAAATGCCGTCTCAAAAAAGCAGAGTATTTGCGACGGCACCATTTGCCGTCTCAAAAAACCAGAGAATTTGCGACAATACAATTTGCCGTCTCAAAAAATAAGAGTATTTACGACGGCACAAAATACCGTCGCAAATACTTTCATTTTTTTAGACGGCAAATAGTACCGTCGCAAATGCTCTATTTTTTTGAGACGACAAATAGTGCCGTCGCAAATACTCTGCTTTTTTGAGACGGCATTTTCTGCCGTCACAAAAAGTGACTTTTTGAGACGGCAAGTGTGCCGTCGCAAATAGTTCCGTCTCATAAACCCACTTTTCTTGTAGTGCACTTACATAAACATAACGTAACGTGTCACGTTTCGTTTTGCAAACTTACTAAGTTTTTTATTTTTTAAATTGAATGTGAAAATATTACTTGTTCGTGTATTTTGAAATTCACATTCACATATATATGATGTGATACCTACATAAACCTAACGTGACGTGTCACGTTACGTTTCGCAAATAAGATCTTATGGAATACATTCTTATCTAAATAGGACTTGAGACTCTATAAAAAAATTCACAGGACCTAACATAGCATAAGTGTCCGAAATAGGACTTATAAATAAGTCTCCCATTTATATTTATATTTAAAAAATGTCATTTATTTTATTGGTTTCACTTGTTTGTGGGAATGTGAGAGTACATTATTTCAAAATTAAATAATTTAATTATACAATTAAATATTTATCAAATTAAATATGAGATATAATTTATTTAGAATAATTAAAAAAAAAAGAGCTTTGGATAATATAAAAATTTGAAATAATTTTTTCCCTACCAAATCAAGTTTTAATTGTTACATATTAAAATTTTCTTCTCCAACCTTTTTTTTTTTTTTGTCATTTGGAAGAACAATATTACTATATAAATTTAGAAAAATACTATGATACACACCCTTCAAAAAAATGTGTATCATATATTTGTTTTATAATTAAAAAATAAAATAAAATAATTTTATATTTTTTAAGTCATAATTAATTTTTTTTTGTCATAAGTAAACACGATATGAAACATAATTACAGATTAAAGACGGCAATAATGAAGAAGAGCAATCAAACATTGGCAAGTAGAAATTACCAGAAAACTACCACGTCACCCTGAGAAAACTTGTACTTATCAAGGCAAAATTTCTCCACCAAAACGTAGTCATCTGCAGCGATATATGAATGATTAACGTGATGAAGTTTACTATCAAGGTAAAACACTTCGTATTATACCATGTAATTTAGCAATTTTCAAGCAATATAACTGTAAGATAGCTTCTCAAAGATATAGTAATTTGTATATATAACACCACCATTAATAATAAAAGCAGGCAAGACTACTTCAGAACTCCTCAGATCGGACGGCTGCGACGGCCGGCGGCGAGGCGACGAGCTGCGATGGCGAGCTCGCAGCCTCCTCCCTCCTCCTTCCTCCCTCTTCTCCCTCTCCCCTCCCCTCTGGTTTCGAAGAGAGAGAAAGCAAGAACGAAGAAGAAGAAAAGAAAAAAAAAATAAAAAAAAATAAAAAATCCCAAAACGACGTCGTTTTGGGGACTGCCGGGTAAGGCGGCCGAGGATTCGGATTCGTGTAGAATTTCTCATAAATTTAAATAGTAAAAAAAATGTTAAAAATTAGAGAGAGAAAATCAAGTGAAATAAATGTGAAAATCATCAGCAAACCCTTCTCTTCACGAGGCCTTCTCTTCAAGCGGCATCACTCCCCGCCGTCACCTCGGTGCACGATCCCCTCCACCACCACGACGACGACGACGGCGACGCTGCGTGTATATCAAAGAGAGGCTTGATTTGCTAAAAAATTAGCATGGAAGATTCGAGAAATCACAAGAAAAAGCAAGCAATTGATGGCGAAGAAGAAGAAGAAGACAGAATCAGCAGTTTACCAGACTCAATTCTTCACGAAATCCTCTCTTCCATGGACGACCTCAAATCGGCAGTTCAGACCTCCGCGCTATCAAAACGATGGAGGTACGTTTGGACTTCCCTCCCCAACCTCCACGTCGATTTCGACGAATTTCCATTTCCTGATTCAGATTCCAACGAGGCCAATCGGCTTCGTTTCTTGCACTTCGTGAACCAATTCTTGTCTCTCCGAGACGACGATTCCAATCTCTGCAAATTCTACTTCTTAGCCAAATACTGTGATGATCCAAGCTTCATCACAAACTGCATACATTACGCAATTCACCACAATGTTCAAGAATTCCATCTCTGGGCAGCTTGTGTTGCCGAGCCCTTTGAATTCCCTCCCTGTTTTTTCAACTCTGAATCCCTAAAATCTCTCAAATTGGTATATTTTTACAAAAGTGTGCCTATCGACAAACCGTTGTGCTTTCAGGGATTAAAGACTCTGCATCTTAGTTGTTTTCTAGATGACTCTGCCAATTTTGTCACTGAGAGTGTTGGGAATTGTCCCAATCTGGAAACTTTGATCTTGGATTACTTGCAATTGAGATGTTTTAAAATCACTGCTCCGAAACTTAGGAAGTTGGAATTGTGTTACCATGAGCGTTGTATTTCCGACTCTTATGAATCGGTGATTGTAGTTTCGGCACCTAGGCTGACTTCGTTTAAGTTGAAAGGTAAGGTTTCGCCTGTGTTTTCTACGATGGGACTTCCTTCTATGGACGATTTATGTGTCGACCTGAGGTTTCCTTCTGATGCAAATATCGAGCAAACGGTGCCAGTCAATGTGATCAACATGCTGGCTCAGCTTGGAGAAGCAAACTCCCTTACATTATCATTGGGAACCCTTGAGGTAATTCCTAACATTGTCATTGGAAACCCCTGCAAATATTGAGCAAAGGTTGCCACTCAATATCATGTTGTACTGTTATATGTCATTGGAAACCCTTGTCATTTGCTAGTGAATTCACATATGCAATTGGTGCATTTCTATAGAATATGGTATGATGTTATATCTATTTTTTACCACATATTATAGTACTGTCGTAATTAAAATTAGATTTCCTAGTTACAAACAATCATGTTGAATTCCCCGAGTTGGGATGTGCATAGTAGTAGGTGCATGCTCTACTTGACTCACGTAGGGCAATGTAGAATTTGTCGTAGGTGTGTGTGCAACGTGAAAAAATGAACTACTTCCTGTTATAGCCTAATTAGATCTTTGCATTGTCTTAGTTGTTGATTCCAAATTAATTTTATGTTTTGTTTGATTTGTTTTGCATGAGGTAAGGTTCTTGCAATGGATACTGATTCTCTCAAGAGCCATCCTTCTCCATTTCATAAGTTGAAGCATCTCAAGTTGATTGCAAAAGAGTTTCTAGAAGAAGATACAAGTCCTACTTTAACTCTGCCGCTAAACGTGATTACCTACTTGACCCGAGGTTCCTCATGTGGCGACACCTTGTTTATGAAGTTCTCTAGGTAATAATCAACTCCCATTTTTATTCATTCATGTTCCCTTTAAAATGCACATGACCTTATAATTAAGCATGTATGTCATCCCCTCCACCACAACCAAATAAATATGGAAAAAAGAAAAAGAAAAAGATAATTCGGTACAAAATGTCTTGTTTAATTTATGATCTATACTTGTTATTTCTGTTTTTACGTGTACTTGGAGACAATTGACAATGAAAAATGGTAAATGCGAACGATACTGATTTGCATCTCATTTTATGGCTGTGGTTCTTTTTCCATTCTTTTATTATTATTATTATTATTATTATTTATTTATTTATTTTTCTAATGTGTATGTATATATGCCCTTTTTTTTTTTTTTGGGTATTTCTTTCCTTAAATGCAATAAGTGGGAAATGTCACATTCATGTTTTAATATCATAGATTTCAAGTAAACTGATAATTATGTAAAATTCATGTTGTCATTATAGTTCTTACTAGTGCTTCCACTATAGTTATGTTATTAGTATTACTGGGAATCAAAGCTGTTGGAATACTTCATCCACACTTAATGTTTTTAACAAATGTTCTAATACAACAAAAAGAAATTTCTAGCATAAAACATTTGCAAACATTATAGAAACTTGAAAGATTTCTTGTACTGACTTCCACTCCAAATCAACCTGCAAATAATACAATGCAGATGAGTAGAGTGGGCCTGACAAGTGAGTAAACTTAGGAGTTAAAAATCATGAACAAAATATGACTACATATATTGATAATCAATGGAATCCATAATTAATCTCTTAGTTGCCCATACGCGGATACTCTAGGGACCTCTACCCATCTCCCAGGTGCTCATAAGCTGACACTCTAGGGGCCTCTATGCTCTTTAGAACAGACCATTAGTTCTCACCAGTCCACCTTTATCAGTTTCGATATCACAATAAGAAAAATGGATGAAGTCTCCATGCAACCAGTTATCAACCACTGCCCCTCCTACCACGCAGCACATTGAGCAGCGAATTCTCCTTCTAGGCCAACCGAAGCACCACATCTCTCATCCTTAACTTTTGATTTAATTTTTTTTTCTTTTTCTTTTTCTTTTCTCTCTCTTGATTGTCCATATTCCTCACGTCTCTTTATCTCTCCATAAATCTCTCACTGCCATTAAGAGCGTCAAATTCACACCATATCTTCTGTTTTTGTTTATGTCTCACATGTCTCTCCCTCTCCATAATTTGTTTCTTTATCTTTAGCCTCCACCCAATTATCTCTCCTAATCCATCTCACATATTCTCTGTCTATCACTTCCTTATTTGTCTCTAAATATGATTTTATACTCTCTCCTCATTTATCTTACAGTTATACAATGGCGAAAGGCCCCGCTCTTATATGCGCTTAATTTTTTACCCCCACGTGTCTATCTCATTTTTTGTTCCATTACTCTCTTTAATTAAATCTCCACAATGTTTGTTCCACTGTAAAATCACAAATCAATACATCATTGCTACACCATCATACATATTTAACATATTTTTAGATGTAGATACACAATTGAGCATCACATTAATTCTAGTTAATTTCTTCAACATTTAGAAATCTCTCAATCATGCACTTGCAACCATCACCACTGAAATATATTTTCCATCTTTGTTATCCCTATAACAAACACCAACTCTTTTAACATTTGAATATTAATACATCAAAATATGTTAACTACGTTAGTACTTGAGTTGGGGTATCGCACTTGTGTGTTCATAAGACTACGCGGTCTTAGATCTTATTCGTTGGTGTGACAAGAGAGAGGAAGATGATGGTCTCATGAGGAAGCAATGAGTAGGAAAGAAGCCAAGCATAACTGGGACATATTGTTTTATGGAGGAGATTAGTTGGAGGCAAAAGGCGAGGGGTTTATCTTTTTAATTTTTGTTTTTTTTTGATAAGCAAACAAAATTTATAAAACTAAAATGCCTTCATGGGCAAACCTGTATACTAAAAAAAAACCCAAACATGGGCATTACGTCCATGTATAAGACACCTATGAACTCCACAAAAGAAAATCGAAAAAGGGCATTCCTTTCTCAACCAAAAAAATAAGGAGAGAAGAAGATATCCTTTCAAACTACATAAGGCTGCTCCATGCCCTTAGAAGACTTTCTATTCCACTCCCAACAAACCATCCACAAACCACATAAAAAGTTCCATATTTGAATTCTTCTTATCTGACTTCCTAGAACAACAAGTGCCGGAAGGAGGGTCCTGATACGGAGTCAGACACTTACTTTAGCAGTGTGGGAGACTGGGGAATGGGTTGAGAGTAAACTCCTTTGGAGCTTACTATGCAAGGAGCTCACCCAATGAAAATGGCATTACCCAATATATACCAAAAACAGAGTATATGAGACTTCATTAAACTATTATCGAAGAATGTAAAAGAGATGCTTGACTGACACTTTTCCCTTCTTGTTTGCACATGCAACACCAATCCAGCACCAAACTTGCATCTCTTCTTAAGGTTGTCAATAGTAAAGATAGTTTCATACTCTGATTTCCAAGCAAGAAAAAGCAAACCTTAGGAGGGGCCTTATATCCCAAATACCCCTCCAAGTAGGGTGAAAGTTTCTCCTCCACATAACTCTTGGTAAAAACACTGTACTAGAAAAACACCATTCTTTGATCCATTCCACACAATGTCTTCCCGTTCTCCTTGATGATCCTCTGCCTTGTATAGCATCATAAAAAACACCTCCGTAGATTGTTACTACCAATCGTTCAATGCTCCCCAAAAACGGGGAGCGCATACCATGGTACTATCACTGAACATGAAATAGACCTCCACAACTGCATCGCAGTCACTAGTTAAAACAAATTTAGGAAGACTTTTCTCAAAGATCTATGCCCACACCACAAATCCAACCAAAATCTCACTTTTTTCCCATCACCAACCTTGAAAAAGATGTTCTTAGCAAACACATGCCAAACCTTTATAATTCCTTTCCATAACCTCACTCCATGAGGCCCGACATCCATACCTATGGAAAAATTACCCCATTCTCTTATACTTTCTCTCCACCACTTTCCTCTACAAACTGACATCATCAGTGCCAAATCTCCATAGCCACTTAACTAGCAGAGCTTTATTAAAGACCCCAACTTCTTGATGGTGGTGCTGTTAGCTATCATGTGGTGATTGTGGAGAGAGAGAGAGAGAGAGAGAAAAGCAAGCATACTTAGGTGAAAGATTTGTTTATTGCATACATTAAATTTTTGGTGTAAATGATTTTTTTTTTTTCAGGGGAATTTTCTTTTGTGCTTGTAGATTTTGTAGGAAAACTCAATTTCCATGTTGAGCTTTTTGGATCTCGTATAGTGTTTGTACAAATGTTATGCCCCTTTTGGCATATTTATATATGATATTTTACAAATCAAACAGAGGAAAAAAATCAAAATTTCTACTCACCTAAAACCATCATTGGGATGCAGATTGTTCTGCACAGATTTCCATGCTTGCTCTATACATAATATTACTAGCATTAATATTTTCTTATTATTGTTGCGTTGTATCTGATTTATATGCCAATTTGATCCCAAAAAAGGTATATGCCTAATTGTAATATATGATGCAAGGAAGTGACCAGTGTTATTTGATACTATCAGAGTGCAAAAAATAATACCTCTAATATTTCCTTATTCTTTGATTGGTGTCATGTGAATTGCAATTGGAGTATCTTACCTTCTATTGTAGGCTGAGTTTGAACCCCTAAACCTGAGTCTCACATACCCTAACCCTAATAGACCATCTCCAACATTTACTCATCTTTCGTTAAATTTAAATTTGATGAAAATTTGGTGAAAACGGTGCTCCAATCCTGTCATGATATCAAATGAAGGAAGCAGCAAATTTTTCATCAAATTGAGGAAGTGTTTAACCTTACATCAAATTTTGAAATTGACCATTGGTGGACATGATTGGCAGAATTGATGAAAACAATTAGAGTGCATTATATCAAATCAAAATTTTCGTCAAATTTTCTTAAATTTGATGAAAGATTTGATGGACGATTGGAGATGCTCTTAGATGAAGAAATGATCAGCCGGACAGGTTGAAAGCAGCAAATTTCTTCTTACAGCAACAGGCACATGGCATTGTCATGGCAACCCAATTTAGAGAGGCTTAAATTTGTCTTATCAGTCTGAAGAGCTGAGTTATAATCCTTCAATTGAATTTTGAACTAGGGTTGAGCATCAAAAGGATTGCCCAATTTGCTCACATGAAATTGGTTCCGAGTTTTGCATTTACATATTGCTTACAGAATCATGTTTCAAATATTTTGATGTTATCACTGATTGTGCAGTAATCGCTAGAAGACACAGAAGGTTCTTGGGAAATCTTGCTAGAAGCCTCCAGCCCGAGCAATGTGAGTCAAGCAAGTATATTTTTGGGACTTGGGCACTAGTTGTGCTTGTATATGTACTTGCTTTTGAGTTTGTACTTCATGGTTGATCATATGATATATGGGCAGGATGTATGTACACCCTTCTGAATTTCTATTCTTAACACCTTTCATGATTTATTTGTTTAGTCATATTCATCTTTTCTAAAAGGGTAAATACCTCAACCACAGGTCAATATGAACTGATAAAAAAACCTTTGACCTTAAAACTTGGATAACATGTTTTGGAATATATTTTTTAGCGTTTGGTAAGACAGAGAAATTAAAGTCAGCAGGAAAATTTTTCTATCGTCAATGAAAAATAAGTTTATATAGACGTAAAATGTTTCACTTCTGAAAAGTGAAAAATGTTAGAACTTTGAGTGAAAACTATAATTTATTTAAATCACAAATTAAAATAAAACATTAGTAAATTTGCATCCCTTTATGTGACTCGGTACAACAAATTAATGGGATCTTTCCTTCCGTAATTTTAAATGGTAAAATTTAAGAAAAGTTTTTATTTTTATTATATATGTAAGTCACGTTTTCCTTGTGTTTTCATTCATTCCATCACCTCCTCTTACATCACCCCCAATTTATATTAATTAAAATAATAAAATTTACTGCTGTAAATAAAGCTCAGTATATTTTAAATTTTATAAAACACCACTTGGAAGAGCTTTTTAAAACGGCAAAGATGAAATTTAGACCATTGATTAACTATTAAGATAGTAAAAAATTCGGTTGCAGATTAGTCAATAGTTTAGGAGGAGGCTTTGTCTCCGTCTCCGCTCCAATTTTTTGATTGGGGTTCAGTTGGTGTGGCTGTGGGCTCATCTTGAGTTTATTTTGGTTTCATAGGGCAAATTATTTATGTAAAAAAATTGAGTTTATTAGATTTTAGTAGTTACATGATCAATTTATTTGTACGAACAAAAAAGATGGTCTATTTTTCAAATCATATTTCTCAACAAAAAATAATAATAATAATTGAATAGAGATAGTTACTTGATCGAATCACATTTTTAAAAAAGAAAATAATAATGACAAATATGATTAGAGATAGGGCTGAGTAAGGAATCCGTGAAATTCGTAATTCGATCAAATCCAGTCCAATCCGATAGGTTTGGATTGGTTTTTTGAATCCGTGGTTCGGTTCCGAATTGAAAAATTAAAAATCCGTAGTACACGGATTGGTTCCTGACTGAATCCCACGGTTCCGGATTGAAACCGATTCGAACTGTATACAAATAGTATATATTTTTATTATACGTCCTCCCTCATAGTATCTTCTCTTATTCTATATAAAATCTAAACTCAAATCTAAAATCGTATAATATCTTCTTTTATTACTTTTGTTTGTTAGTTTTTAGTTTTAATTTGTAATGATCTAAATACTTATGGTGAAACTAGTTTTCTTATGGTTGTTTAAATTCTAGCACGGTATGTCGCTATTATAGAAATAGATGTTGCTATTGTGGAACTAATATAGCGCTATGTTTATATTTTTATGAAATTAAAGTGTTATATATATTTTTTTGTTATTTAATTATGTGAATCCGTGGTCCTAAACCGATCCAATCCGTATTTAAATATATTGGTTAGGATTGGTTCCATGATTTAAACAGATTGGATTGGTTCCAATTTTTCAGGAACCGTAGATAACGGATTGGTCCTGATTTTACCCCAATCCGGTCCAATCCGAACCATGCTCACCCCTAATTAGAGACGGATAATTTCAACCCTGAATGGGTAAGAGCAATTTTGTGTGTTAATAAAAATTAATATCATCTTGTTGAATTATAAGAAGAAAAAAAATGAGCAACATTAGTAAGTAATTCATGAACCAACATCTTTTATTAATGCAAATTAGACAATTGAGCATTACAAATGCCTTCCAAAGCATGACATAAACAAAACATCATTAATTGCAAACTACGAGTAGATTTGACATAAACATAGCCAAAACAAACAAGACAATGAAACGAGTGAGTGAAGAAGGCTCATCATCAAAAACTTCACTGGGGAAGCTTGTTCAGCTTACAGTACATATAATCTTCGTACTTCTTGGTCTTGTATTTTGGTGGATTTTCGTCGTCGATGAGCATTGGATGTGGCCCAACTTCGACCTCCGGCGAGGGTTCAATGAACACTGGCCATGACATTCTTGTTGTCTCCTTGTTTACTGTTGATCTATGGTACACAGCCTTGTACTTTCCATTGCTTACTATCTGTTGAAGCCAAGAGTTGTAGGTCTTAGTCATCTAATGAATACTTAAAAAATCAGGATTTTAAATAACATTATCAAGATATGTATATATATTAACGGTATAGTCATATCTTACTTCAAATCATATAGTATAAGCTTATAAATTGAATGAATATTACTATCAAAAGTTCAAAACCTTGATTGATATTTAAAAACCTTCTACTAAGATTGTAAAAATTTGAGACTGCGACCTAAATTCTAGTAACGTGTTGGGCAAATTAATTACCTATTTTTCACCTTCTAGCTTTTTCATGAATTTTACTTTCATTACTCACCTTTTAAGTTCTAATTGCAACATTTTTTTCCTTTTCTTTGTTATATCTAATTGTAACAATTGAGCCTTCAAGCTTTTTAACCTATATTTCAATATAATCCTTCAATCATCACTCATGATTTGAAATTTAGATTGAAAGTGTGAGGACCACCTAAGCACTTTTGGGGGGACATTAGAGAGAGACCATAAGTTGAGTGATCAAACTGAAATTCAAATGAAAGTTGATAGGTAAAGAGTATAATTTGCTCATTTAAATTTTAAATAGTTAGCGATAAAAGGATCATATTAAAACGCATATTGAAGTATGAAAAATCATTTGTTATAATTACAATTTGAGATATCAAAGTAAAATTCTGACTCCTTTTTTGCTGATAAAAAAAAAAAAAATTGAGAGATTAAAGTAAAATTTTGGTATAAGTTAAAAAGAAAAAGATGTAATTTTATCATGAGAAATTTCACAAACTTTAGTTAGATGACACATTTTACATACATAAGAAATAACAAAAAAAGATGTACCTCAATTTGGTCACCAATATGGACAATCAGGGCATTAGGGATGTACTTGACTTCATACCAATGGTCATCTTTGAAGACTTGGAGCCCTGGGACTTCATTTGGGACAAGAATGGTGAGGGTGGACATGTCTGTGTGAGCCACAACCCCAAGGGCTAGGTCTGGCCTAGGGCATGGTGGGTAATAGTTAATCTTCATAAGGTAAATCAAGTCATCACCACCCACAGCCTCCTTGACCTCATGCCCTTCAAGCCCTAGCCCTAGTGACAGCCACCGGAACAACTTGTCTGCCACCGCACGCAACCTCTCAGCATACACTTCATTGGCTTCCCTGTATGCGATGAAAAACACTGCATTTAGTGCATGCACTACAAGTTACAACATATAAGGATTTTAAAAATTAAATTCTTTCATTTTCAAAGATGAAAATTTTGTATACAAAAAAAATCAGGTGACCAATTCGAGTCGTAATGTGGGTCATCATGAAAAAGTCAAATAAAATATATTCAACAATAAAATTTTGAAAATATCATTATTAAATGTAGTTTTAGAAACAATAAATGTGTTTACTTTTTAGACGAAAATTTTGATCATAAAAAGATAAAAATTCATTATTAAAAGTCCAATTTTATCACTAAAAATACAACTATAACACTTTTAATAATTAAAATCTTTCATCTCTAAAAAATTATTTTAATATTAAATTTTTATTTTTAAAATCTTAATTTGTTGTAACAGTTACAAGCAAGCAATGCAAGAGATGGAAACATTTTGGACTTGTTTTTTTCAAAAAAAAAAAAAAATATATTAATCAAAGTATAATACATACCACATATTCAATCTCAACTCCCAAAACCAAAGAAATTTATAAACTACAACCTTAGTTGGCTACCATGCCTTCCATAAAGATTACTCCCTAAGGAAGTTATGGGTTCAACCCCTCCTTAAAGGAGTTGAATTAAAGGAGCGCAATCATTGAAGTGTTTTGCCAAGGGTGGGGAGAGCTTTTTTTCATTATTGCTAATCTAACAACTAACAATTAACATTTATCGATAAAAAAAAATACATGCAAATATTTTAATTTTTATATTATATCATCAACATGTTCTCTTATGTGTAGTGGGATCTGCAAAAATATTTTAATATAGACAATAATATTTGAACCCATAATCTTTTGTCTATTCATACCATATTAAATCATTAATCATTATTGGAGAGTATAGTTTTTTTTTGTTTTGTTTTGTTTTTTTTTTTTTATGGGAGAGTATAGTTGGGAATGTACTTTTAAGCGATTTGGCCTCTTTTGACAAGAGGTTAAAAGTTAATTTTTTAGTTATTAATTTTTTTTAAGTTACATTGTTTCTTTATTTTTTTAAACGTTTAAAAAAAAAAAATCAAAAAGTAAACTTTTAACTTAATTCTCAATATAATCTAAACCTATTCTCCTTATTCTTCATTATCTCCTTGTATTTCTTTATTTTGATAAAATAAAAAATTCATTTGCCCATAAAAAAAATATTAATCATTAACGCATCTAAAAATTTAAATTATTATTTATTAAATAGAGGAATTACTATAAAGAGCGGAATTGTTATTATTTATATTATAACTTCAATAATTCTCAACATCTACTTGGAAAATTTATTTAGTAGAGCCTTTAAAAAATATTAATCATTAACTCATCTAAAAATTAAAATTATTATTTCTTAAATAGAGGAATTATTATAAAGAGAGGAATTTTTATTATTTATATTATTTCAATAATTCTCAACATTTACTTGGAAAAATTATTTAGTAGAGCCTTTCACCCCGATAGAAAATTTATTAAATAGTTTTAGAGTATTATGCAACTTTAGATTATAAGTTCTATTTTATTTTCTAATTATTTAACAAAGATGAATTATCATGTCCCAATGCAAATTACTCAGAAAAAAGAATGAATCGTCTACATCCATAATAAGTATAACCCACATCCCACTCACTATAAATTTAGGGCTGGGTTTTCCTCCAGTCCGTAATCGGACTAGAGAGTACTGTTGGGCTTATGAGGGCCTACCACGGGTTCCATTTCAATAATCTGAACTGTTCAATGTGTATAACTTGTTGAGTACTATATGCCTGTAAAAAATCATGTTGATCAGATATTGATAGTTGTCTCATTGGATCAGATTTCTGTCAACTATTTATTTTTTCACCATCTATTTTTTTTATTATATAAAACCAATTTGATCACATGACTATCAATATCCGATCAATATAAATTTTTTGGTATATAATACTCATCAAGTTTTATACATTGAACAATTTAGATTATTGAAATGAGACCCGTAATAAGTACTCACGAGTCCAATAATACCCTCCAATCCGATCACGGACGGGAGAGAAGCCATCCCTTAAATTTATACCACCTATTCATTTTTAAATGAAATTTTGCAACGAACATAACATTCTTTGTTAACAAGTAGTGCAGAAGGTGACCCTTCATGACAGTGAAACTACAAACAAATATGAAAAATGCTTTATACCATTAATTTAATACTATTAATGCACCACTAATGACATGATATTATGTGGATTTCATTATTGATGTGATAGTTTGGCCTTTGTTTTTTTTATTTTTTTTTCCCTTACACTTGCCAGTTCATTAGTGATACTTTTAGAGCTATTGATTTAGTGCTCTAAATTGGAACTAAACAAATAAAACATATGGAAAATGCTTGAGACCACTAATTAGTGATAGCACTAATAATGTGGCAGTGGGCCCCACCCACTGCCACAGTGTTGCTATGTCTTTTTTTTTTTTTTAGGTGTGTACCAACTCATTAGTGGTATTTTAGAACATCACTATTAGTGGCATGTATCATTATCCTATAACATATAGCCAACTATTAAAAAAACTGAAATAAATCTTGTTGACTTGTATTACTACATGTGTAACAACCCTCACCACTGTTTACCGATTAACCACTGATTACTGCTAAACTGAGACTGATTATGATAAGTAATTGAATCAACTGAAATACTGAACTGATCGATTGAATGTGCTAGTTTAAATGCATATCTATCTGTTGATTGTTAAATTATCTGTTTATGTTTTATGCTTTAAACTGCAAATTGAAGGCCTTATCGGCGGCCGAATCTGAAATTGATTGATGATTTATGATCATTAGAATTTATGTGATTTTATGGCATATTTAATTAAAATGTGATTTGGTATGTTTAAATTAGATTAATTATTGATAAATTGCAAACTTGGACTTAATCACAACTTTACCATACCTAGTGACCCACTAACTAAACACTTTGAGCCTCATACACACTTGACCAAAACATTTTCTTCAGCCATTTCCTTGTTCTTGCCGACTAGAGAGAGAGAGATAGGGAGTTGGAGTGAATTCATCTTGTATTGTTTGGAGAATTGGCTAGAGAGCTTGAAGAATTAAAGTATAGATTGCAAATTGAGCTCCCTTATCTTGCATTGGAGACCTAAGGTAGTATAATCACCCTCTTGTTTATGAATTGAGCTTGTTCTTGCATGATTCATGTCAAATTAGGGGATTGAGTCTAGAATTGGCTTAATGTGTTGAATTGTAGCATAGATCATGCATGCATGCTTGTCGAAATTTGAGTCGATTTCATGGAAAATTGTTACTTGCATGTCCAAGTTCTAGCTAAGGTTCATGAATTCATCTTGTTTTTGGAACAATTGGCTCATTAGAGCAATTAATTGAAGTTTGAAAGTTGTTTAAAGTCTTGCATGCTCAATTGAAGTTATGTTCTTGAAATTTGGTTTGAAATTGAGTTGAATTGATCTTTCTTTGGGGCTTTGGTTTTACAATTGACCTTTGAAACATGTTGTTCTATGAGTTTACAAATGTTTCCAACAAATTAGCCCAAGAGGATCAAAATTCATGTTTTAAAACTTGATTTGAGCTTGAGGTTCAAATCTGGGAATTCCAGATTTTGAACTCACGCTCGAGCGGGGTGACTGGCGCTCGAGCGTGAAATTCGTGCTCCCAGCACTTTATACTGTTTTGAAATCCGCTCGAGCGGGGTAATTTACGCTCGAGCGGGACCTTGTGTCTTACGCTCGAGCGGGTGTCGAGCGCCCAATCGAGCGTGAATTTCACATATCCAGCACTTTTGACTGTTTTGTAGTACGCTCGAGCGGAAACCTTTGTCTTCATGTCCGCTCGAGCGGCGTAACCTACGCTTGAGCGTGAACCCTATTTTCTGAAAATTCTGAAAATGCTTTTCAAGTGCATCTTTGCATCCTCATTTCATCCTAGGCATTCTTAGGCCTAGTTTAAGGCATCTTATGAGGATATAGATGTAGAACCACACCGAGGCAAATTAGGGATTAAGTTACTATTTTTCCAACTGTATAGCTTAGTGTGTGTTCATTCTGTAACTGTGTAGGGTTGGCATCTGAGTACGCGCTCTAGCTTAACTGTAGCCCAGAACTCTGTGAGTAACAACTGTGTAAAGATATGTTCAAATATGATTACTTTCTGAGCAATTGAACTGTACTGTTTTCTGAAATGATACTGTTACTGAATGAATGATGTCCTAATTGTGAACTGTATTGTGACATCCTTAGCAACTACTGTTACTGTTACTGTTACTGCTACTGTTACAGAGATCTCTGTCTGTTCCCATGTTGGAACCACTACTATTTACTGATACAATAGCCATTAACTGACTGTTCGGTCTGATAAGACCTACTATACTGTTTTGCTACTAGATGTACCACATATGACTGTAATGACTGAATAACTGACATACTGATTGAAATGATTGTTTTCAATACTGTAAGGACATTCATTCTTAACCTCTTTACGCATTATGTTATTCACTGGGGTTTAGCTCACTGCTCATATATATATGTAGGTGTAAAGGCACCAGACCGTTATTAGAAGCGTCGGGGTAAACTCTAGTTTTGTCAAGCCAACCTATGTGTCTCACTGCGAGGTTCCGAGTTCGTTCAAGCTAAGGCTACGGGGTGTTTTAGTTTTTCCCTCTCTGTCCTGTTTTTGTGTACACTATTACTGTACTGTTTTAATAGGGATTAAGTCCCTGTCCTAAACGATTGTAAATGTTGTACATACTGTACTATATGAAAAGTCTTTTTGCATACAGACTGTCACAGCTCATTGGACATTGTCTATTTACTGTTTTGGCTTTCGCCATGCCCCTGTACTCTGTTTTATTGTTTGACTATTAAGCAGGCCTTCGGTAATCACGGATTACTGGCCGGTTACGGTGCTAAACCCATAGGGGCGGGTTTGGGCTGTGACAACATGCATATGGTAAGTGTAACCAATAACTTTC